GTAGAACAGTGTAGCCTTTGTGTTAGGAGTGTATTCTATGAATTGAGGTGCTAGAAGTCCAATTCAAGATATTGAAGAATTAAGATGTCAGTTTAACTTAGATGTGCCTGATCAAAGACATAGTCTATTCAACTACTACCTATGCATCTGAAAGCTGAACAGTGAAGAAGGATAAGAAGAAGAATAAATGCCTTTGAGTTGTGGTGGTGTATAACAGTACTGACTGTCTGATGAACTGCCAAAAGAATAAACAAATATGTGCTAGAGAAAGTATAGCCAGCATGCTCCTTAGAGATAAGGATGGTGAAAATTCATCTCACATACTTTGGACATGGTGTGATGAAGCACCAGACCTTGAAAAAGACATCATACTGGGAAAGATAGAGGGTCAGTGAGAGGGAGATCTTCAACAAGATGGATTGATATAGTGACTGCAACAACAGGTGTGAGTATTATCAGAGATGGTGAGGGTGGCAGGGGATACGTTCAGATCTGTTGTTCATAGGGTCCCTGTAAGTTGTAGTTGACTTGATGGCGTTTAACGATGACAACAACAACAACAACAACGTCTTTTGGCTTCCTTCGTTTGGTCTAGATTATTAAAGAATGCTGAGATTTAAATTTGGAAGCAGGAGTGGTATCCACTTTTTAAACAACATGCCTCCAGAAACTCTATGAACATTGATAAATTTCGATAGTTGTAGAGGGGCTTCAGGCCTTTTGTTCATAGGGTTGCTATGAGTTGTGCATGACTAGAAGGCAATCAACACAACAACAACATGTTCTAGTAGCGTGAGTTGACACATCTTTATGCAATTAGCAGCATATGAAAAGTGTGAGAATCCTTTATCACCAAAAATGTCCTATTAGTAGCACAAAGACATTAACATCTGTCCTTAACCCCTAGACTCTCTATGTCTCTATGTCTACTAAGACAGGATAAATTTTACTTTTTGAGCTCCTAGTAGAGAACATTGATGATGTAGTCAGTAGGCAGTTGTGCTGCTAACCCAGAGGTGTTCCCTGACTAGCAGTTAAGATCCACCAATGGCTCCATTCCTCTCATACGAATTACAGTCTCTTGAAGACTTGCTGGAGGGTCAGCTGTGAGTTGATTCTGACTTGGTGGCAGTGAGTAGGTGAGGAACTACCAAAGTGTGTGTAAATTCAGAGGCATAATGTCCCTAATACGTCATTATGAAAAGCTCTCCTGGTATTTCCCCCTTGGTATATTCTATATGTCCCAGTTTCAGATTTCACAGGTTGTCTGTCACTCTTGTAATATTGACTGGTCACTTCTCAAGATATTAATGACCTTTTAAGTTTTAAAAAATATGTTGTCGTTACTAGTCGACTATGACTCATAAGTACCCTATAAAGAAGGGTTATAAACCATGCCCTGTCCTGAGCCAATATCACTATCTCATACATACTTGATCCTCATTGTTGCAGTCACTGTGCCAGTTAATTTTGTTGAAACCCTTCCTCTTTTGCACTGACTCTTCACCTTTCCAAGCTTGGTGTACATCTCAAAGGACTGACCTCTTCTGGTAACATGCTCAGATTGTATGAAATCGAGTTTCACCATCCTTGTCTTATCACACTTAGCAGCTAACTTACAAGTAGGAGGTATGAGTTTGTGGAGTTTCTTGGACAAAAGGCCTGGAGATATATTTCTGAAAAATCAGGTGATGTGGGGTGCCCTATATCTCCAGTTGAAATACAGTATGGTTTTGTCATTGATGGTGGGCAGAGCTTCTGTATTACTGTGATGTGATTCAAGTCTAAAAGCACCTAGCCAAGGAGGCAGGTAACGAAGGGTCTAGCCAATCTCCACCACTCAAGTTAGCTATCAGCAGATGGAGCTATTCTTGCATAATGGGTAGTGGCCTGATTCCAATTCATTAAGAAGTATCTTTTGTAAATGACTTCATAAATGTGTAAACTGGTAATTTCCATTTCTATTATTTTAGATTTAAGTGCATACTTTCATATTTGCAAAGATGAACTAAGTTGAGAATGCAAACTTATCTAAACAGTAAGTGACAAAACTTTGAGTCATTAGAAAATAATCTTCAGTGAAGTCTCTATTCTCCATCTGTAAAATGGAGAAGTTTATCATGTGTGTCTTACATGTGTTTAAAATAGACATTTTAGATCCTTAGAATATTTTTGTGCCCTCCAGCTGAAAGCAAGGATGGAAAGAGCAGGCCCACAGTCTTACCAGGTTTTGTTTGTTTGTTCGGGTTGATTTTTAAGAGGCCATACAGCCTGAGGAGGTATTCTTCAGTGGTTTCTGTGAATCAAGGCATTCTTTATTCACTTGGATTTCACAGAAATAGATTCCCCATAAAAACCTATCTCCTAATTAATGTAAACTAAAGCAATGTTGCTTTGTAGCTAAGCTTTGAGTGTAACCGTTTCATAAGCAAAACAGTTGTTGGCTGCTGCCTTGTCCGCTTTTAATTCACTAGGCCTCCCCCAGCTTCATGGACTGAAATGTAGTGTTGTCTCACCCACTCCTTGTAATTGATTGTGGATTTGACTGTTGTGACCTCTTATATTTTCATGAGTTAGTTTTCATAAGTAGATCTCCAGGCATTTCTTCCTCCTCTGTCTTAATCTGGAAGCTCACAACATCATAGCATTACACAAGTGTATGTATTTTTCTTTGCCAGAAACTCTTGTCCATTTAGGTGCTTCAGAGATACAGATTTTCATTTACAATCCTGTGTGCAATACTGCATAGTGACACTGTTGTAAAACGGACTGACATTGGGATGGGGGGAGACTGAGAAAGATGGAATAAATTATATATACTGCATTGAAACAGATGAAGGAGAGAACTGTTTAAAAGTGATATATGAGCTTTTTCGCAACGGGTTTGTCGCCAGAGTACAGGTGTTGGTGAATACCATCGCAAAACCTAAGCCAAAATGGGAAAGGAGAAGACCCATATCAACATCGTCGTCATTGGACACGTAGATTCGGGCAAGTCCACCACGACTGGCCATCTGATCTACAAATGTGGTGGGATCGACAAGAGAACCATTGAGAAATTCAAGAAGGAAGCTGCGGAGATGGGAAAGGGCTCCTTCAAATATGCCTGGGTCTTGGATAAACTGAAAGCTGAACGTGAGCGTGGCATCACCATTGATATCTCCCTGTGGAAATTTGAGACCAGCAAGTACTATGTGACCATCATTGATGCCCCAGGACACAGAGACTTTATAAAAAACATGATTACAGGAACATCACAGGCTGATTGTGCTGTCCTGATTGTTGCTGCTGGTGTTGGTGAATTTGAGACTGGTATTTCAAAGAATGGGCAGACCCGTGAGCATGCTCTTCTGGCTTACACACTGGGTGTGAAGCAACTGATTGTTGGTGTTAACAAAATGGATTCCACTGAGCCACCCTACAGCCAGAAGAGATATGAGGAAATCGTTAAGGAAGTTATCACCTACATCAAGAAAATTGGCTACAACCCTGACACAGTAGCCTTTGTGCCAATTTCTGGTTGGATTGGTGACAACATGCTGGAGCCAAGTGCTAATATGCCTTGGTTCAAGGGACGGAAAGTCACCCGGAAAGATGGCAGTGCCAGTGGAACTACACTGCTTGAAGCTTTGGATTGCATCCTGCCACCAACTCATCCAACTGATAAGCCCCTGCGTCTGCCTCTCCAAGATGTCTACAAGATTGGTGGTATTGGTACTGTCCCTGTGGGCAGAGTGGAGACTGGTGTTCTCAAGCCTGGCATGGTGGTCACATTTGCCCCAGTCAATGTTACCACTGAATTAAAGTCTGTTGAAATGCACCATGAAGCTTTGAGTGAAGCTCTTTCTGGTGACAATGTTGGCTTCAATGTTAAGAACGTCTCTGTGAAAGATGTTCGGCGTGGCAACGTGGGTGGTGACAGCAAAAATGACCCACCCATGGAAGCAGCTGGCTTCACTGCTCAGGTGATCATCTTAAACCATCCTGGCCAAATCAGTGCTGGTTATGCACCTGTGCTGGATTGTCACACAGCTCACATTGCTTACAAGTTTGCTGAGCTCAAAGAGAAGATTGATCACCGTTCTGGTAAGAAGCTGGAAGATGGCCTCAAATTTCTGAAGTCTGGTGATGCTGCCATTGTGGACATGGTTCCTGGCAAGCCCATGTGTGTGGAGAGCTTCTTTGACTACCCTCCTCTGCGTCGTTTTGCTCTCCGAGACATGAGGCAGACTGTTGCTGTGGGTGTCATCAAAGCAGTGGACAAGAAGGCTGTCGGAGCTGGCAAGGTCCCAAGTCTGCTCAGAAAGCTCAGAGGGCTAAATGAATATTACCCGTAACACCTGCCACCCCAGTCTTAATCAGTGGTGGAAGAACAGTCTCAGAACTGTGTGTCTTAATTGGCCATTTAAGTTTAATAGTAAAAGACTGGTTAATGATAACAATGCATCGTAAAACCTTCAGAAGGAAAGGAATGTTTTGTGGACCATTTGTTTTCTTTTTCCTGTGGCAGTTTTAAGTTATTAGTTTTTAAAATCAGTACTTTTTAGATGGAAACAACTTGACCAAAAATTTGTCACAGAATTTTGAGACACATTAAAACAAGTTCAATGAGAAAAAAAAGTGATATATGATTAGGTATTATTGTCATGGAAGGAGTTCACAACGAAGGCTGCATAGGGGAGTGGACTTGGGGGGAGGGATTGTATGACAATGAAAGAATTTTTCTTTTACTTTTTTTTTTTGTTGTTGTTGTTGTTTAGTAGAATCTTTTTTTTATTCAGAAAAAAAAAACCCCAAAACCAGAAAGTTTTGAACCACACACAGGAGGGGTATGGGTAGGGGGCGGTATCTGTCCATCCAGTCCTGCTCCCTGCCCATATGGTTTTGGCAGCAATAAAGGATGTGGGGTAATGGCCCAGAAAAATAAAAATGGTGTATGTGTATGGGAAGGATAGGGGTGCAAAAGCAGTGGGGAGTGGTGGGGTAAGGGGCAGACGAGGTCAGTACTGGGCATGCCGCAGGTGAGAGGCCATTTCATAACATTTCTTGTTGATCAAACCACCGTGGACACCTTCTTTGCCCATCAGCAGGACTAGCGTCTTGGCAGTCATGGTGACAGTAAGGTTGAAGGTAGGTGTTCCGCCAGTACTCTTTGTGCGAAGATCCATGGTATATTCCCCATCCACTAGCAGTGAGTCCCGGATCACAGAACATTTCTGGCCCCCAAGTGTCAGCCCATTCACAAAAAAACTTGACCGGTCTTTGCCAACAAGAACTCCAACCTCAGCTGGCGTGATGTTAACGAAGGTTTTCCCGGAGACAGCGGCCCAGACGGAGGGTGAGTCCTTATAGCCCACGATGGCCGCGTCCTGACAGGTCCCGTCCGCCATGAGGTTGTCGATGTAGGCGTTCCACCCGGCCGTGTCTCTTCTATTGGACTGTTCTAAGTGTTGTTGCTGGGGCCGTGGGTAGAGCTCCGGCTGCCTCGGTCTGGCGGACGGGGGAAGCAGAGAGCTCGGGGCACGCGCTACCGTCCAGACCGCGGCGGCTCTTCTAGCTCTTTCTTTTACTTTTTAAAGAGAAGAGTGAACTGGGGGAGAGAGGTGGGCAGGGAGAAAAGTGCAACAATGAATGCATGGAAATAAAAAAACCCCAAAACCAACAAACAACAAAACTCACCCTTATATAAAAGATCCTTTATTAGTCTTCTTTCAGTTGTAGCTTAAGTACCCAGTCTGACTGACAGCAACTTCATTAGCATCAAATATAATACGGGCTTACCAGAGCAAGGTAACTTTTTAGAAATTCACCCTTAAGGTCTCTAATGCCCCAAATGCCTTCATTTTACAGGAGGGAGGGAAGCACGAGCCTTTTTAGTGGGGCAGTCCATGTTTTTGTGGGCCACTTTGCCTCTAATAGTCTGTCGAGCTTTGTGTACTTTTTTTAAAAAGAAGAAGGAAGGTAAGATCTTTCAGGCAACCAATTGACTTTGTTTCAAAGTTTAAAAATGTAAAAACTATCTCCTGATCCATGAAAAGTGTGCTTCAAGGCTATGTCCTTTCTCCATACCTATTCAGTCTGTATTCTCAGCAAATAATTTGAGAAGCTGGTCTTTATAAAGAAGAATACAGTATCAGGATCAGAGGAAGACTTATCAACAACTTGCATTATGCAGAAGACAACTTGCTTGCTGAAAGCCAGGAGGACTTGAGACACTTGCAACAGAAGATAAAGGATTACAGCCTTCATTATTCATTACATTTCAACATCAAGAAAATAAAAATCCTCACCTCTGGACCAATAACCAACATTAAGATGGATGGAGGAAAAGTTGAAATTGTCAGTCATTTTATCTTACTTGCATGCACAATTAACACCTGTGGTACCGGTAGTCAAGAGATTAGGAAAATTAGGAAAAGACATTGGGAAAATTTGCAGTCAGGGACTTCTCCAGAGTAGTGAGGAACAATGATGCCAGTTTAGAAACTAAAGTGCTCCTGATTCAAGCCACAGTGTTTATAATTATCTGCTATGCATCTGAGAGTTGAACAGTGAATAAGGATAGCAGAAGAGGAATTCATGCCTTTGAATTACGGTGTTGGAGAAGAGTACTGAATGAGCATGGACTACCAAAAAACAAACAGTTATGTCTTAGAAAAAGTGCAACTAGGGTGCTCTTTGGAGACAAGGATGGTGAAACTTTATTTCACTTAATTTTGAGCATATTTTTTAGGAGAGGCTATTCCTTGTAAAGGGACATCATACTTGGAAAGGTCAGTGAAAGACAGGAAACACCCCAATGAGATGGATTGACACAATGACCGCAATAATGGTCTCAACTCTGTTGGAAATGGTAAGGATGGTGCAGGATAAGACAGGGTTCAGATCCATTGTTCATAAGGTTACTATGAGTTGTATGCGACTCAGCAGTACCTAAAACCCACAATATTTCTTTTTAAAATCTGTAGCTTTCCTGGGGGGGGTATAGTTGTAGCTTTTATTTATTCCTACTTAGAAAGAACCACTGGAGGCCCTGTGCTATAGGTAGGTTGTGATAGCTGAGAGGGATCAGAGAACATGAGTCCTTTGTTAATGAGTGAGGTGAATATTTGACATCATTGAAAGTAAAAACGTCAGAAAATGTGGAACAGACACCTCAAAGTTCAAAATTTTTTGAGAGCCAGTCAGTTTGTATAAAATGAAGAAGCCCTGAAACATTTATTCCTGAAGCTCAAGGTTACATTTTTTACATAAAGAAACTAATAGCTCTCACAACTGAGTCAATAAACAACATCATGATAAATGGAAAAAGAGTGAAGTTGTCAATGATTTAATTTTACTTGGATCCACAGCCAATACCAATGGAAGCAGCCGGTAAGAAATCAAATTACATGTTACAGTGGGAAAATCTGCTATAATGGATACTTTGATGTGTTAAAAGGGCTTTGGTTTGCTTTTTTCAGGGCTAGGGTACACAAGCCAAGGTATTTTCAGTCACTTTTACCAATGCAAGGAGATTATCTTCTAATATAAAGTAATATCTAGGAATCCATTTGAATAAGATCTGGCAAGTTTTATTTGACTAAGTTATGCATGCACAGTTCCATCTCCACCTCCAAACCCAGAAACATGCAGACTTAATCAAGAACTCATGCCAGTGAGCAGTTTGTTCTTTAAGCTCATGTCTTACTGCTGAGAGAACAGGCCTGATAAAGTGTCAGCCAGCTTCTTGCACCTGGAATGGTGGTCCCTCTTCTGAGGGGAGGTTTTAATATGAACCCATTGTATCTTATGCACTGGCCAACTTCTGAGACCTGGCAGAATCTGTCTGCTTCCTGCTTTTCCTGAGTTGCCTCTTATAGGCATCTGTAGTTATTTAGAGCTTTTGGCATTTGACTTTCAGGTTGGCATTTTCCCTTCTGTAACCTGTCCTTGTGGTTGCTAAGTGTTGGTTCTGCATCATCTTCTCGTATTTGTTCCTGCATCACTCCTTGTTCTCCGATGTTGAGCCTGTCTATCGGGCTGGACCCTTAAATGTCCATTGGGTTCTTCTTTGTGGCCAATATTTGGACCTGTCGTTGCTGTTGTTAGATGTCTTTGAATCAGCCCCAGCTCATAATGACTCTGGAGACAGCATAGCAAAACCTTGCCCACGGACACCATTTCAAGACCAGAACTGACCTAATGCCTTCTCCCATTCCTGTGGTGTTAGAGGTGAAGTAACTTCACCATTAGTTGTAATTAGTTGGATGAGATTCCATGTCAAAACCAGCACAGTTTAATGCCTAGTGGGAGAATGAAATGAGATTAACTCTGTGGAAGGGCCTAGAGCAGCACAGGTGTGGGGTCAGTGTGGGGTGCAGTCACTGTGGGGCCAGCAGGCCAAGTTCCATCCCAGTCACCTTCTGGGCCACTCAGTGTCCTCCATGTGAACCCTAATAATCCCAAAGCCATCTCTTCTGCCTGGTGGTTCTGTGAGAAACAGTCTTTTCCTTTAAGTCATTCTCCAAAGTGTTCATTTCTTATGTAGTCCTAAGCTCATTAAATGAGTCATTTCTACTGAGAAAACCCGCATGTTTTCACCAAATTTTAAGAGTTCTACAAGTTGAGCCATAGGCTTATAAGTGATGACATACATACTCAAGTCAAAGACTTCATGTGACAACCACAGTAGTGGATTTTCTTTTTCCTCATGAATGTTTTTAGCATTTTCTCAGCATAAATGTGTTTTACCATGGTATTGGAAGTTATGCAGCCATGGTGCAATCTACACCTTTGTTCCAGGTTGGACAGTGATTAGGCTCAGGGCCAAAGCTGGGCTGGACACCTCGAGGACAATGGTAAGGCTTACACCTCAAGTTTTGGGAAGTGACACATAAGTGAGGGCCTGCAGAGGACTGGCTAGAAGCATATGTGAGAGGAGGAAATGGTGACAGGGACTGGCAGGAGAGTGGGCAGCTGAGTCCTGTCACACTGAGCTGCTTTTACCATAAGCACCAGGAGAACTGCTGTGTTATATGAGCCTGCTTTGATGTCTGTGCTCTGATGTGGCAGGGCAAGGGAGGAGCAGCCTGGCTTGTTAGCTTCTCCCTGCATGGACATGATGTAGGCATTGGCATCAGTGAGCCAAATCTGTTGAGCTGAAATGTTAAAAAACCCCAAAACTCTCTTATCTCAGGTAGGAAATTTAGATGTTTAACTTTCTGTCCTGAAGCTAAACTTAATTTTTCTCACAGTACTTTGCCAATTTTTGACAAAATAATACTTTGATACTGCTAGTTATTTGTAAAATGCTTTGGGATTCATAAAGTGATTTACACATTTTGCATTATTTAATCTCGTATTTTCTTTTATTATTGAAGTTCTTGGGTGTTGCAAGAAGTTAATACACCCAGCTCCTAACTGAAAGGATGGGCTTCAAGTTCACCGAGAGGAACCTGGAAGAAAGGTCTGGTGGTCTAGTCAGAATAATCAGCTGTCAAAGCGCTTGCATGCACTATTCTGCTCTGATATCTCTTCCAAAGAATGATATTTACTAGATTTGTCCATTAGCAAAAATGCATAAATTTCTCAGGTTTGTTTTTTATGGGTTTGTTTTTTTTGTTGTTGTTGTTAATCCCGTTAGTTCCTAGTGAAAATATTAGTAAAGTTCTTCAGGAATCATTTTGTCTCTGAATAGCAAACATTGGCTGGCCTTCATTGCTAAAGGAAATATCCCCTTTCACTTCTCCCTTCTCCTACCACCAGTTCATTAACCCTGTAGAACACAGGGTTCTCCTTAGCTACACCTCTTGTGTTTTTTGTTCTTCCTGGTCCTGAGTGATAAGATATCTGTCTATTGGAGAAGGAACACTTTCATGTTATCCTCGTGTTAACAGTTTTAAGACTCCATGGCTTACTCATGGGCCCTGCCAGGTGAGGAGGCAGCAGTTTTTCCCGAGAAAGGAGGCCCATAACTCCTTTCTCACTGATGTCTTATCTTAATGGCTAAACAAAGACTCAATTCAGTAGGTTCATTTTAGCATACTCGTTGGCAGTCTGTTTCTGAAAGCCATACCCTGTAGAGGTCAAGTTGCTGAAAGCAACACAGAGTCCTCAGGAGTGAGGATGAATTTGATGGCAGCTTACTTAGCTTTAAGGAACTCTGGTAGCATAGTACTTAGTGAGTTGTCCTGCTAACCCATAGGCCATGCCTCTCTGGTAGTTCGAATCCACCATCAGCTGTGTGGGCATAAGATGCATAATCTCCTCCCCTTCAGTGTGCAGTCAGCCTCTGGAGGGACAGCTATGAGTTAATTATGATGTAACAGTAATGAGTTTTAAACTTTTTATTTGGTTACACACACACCCACCCACCCACACACACACACACACACACACACCCACCCCTAACCCCAGACCGGAAGCATTGCACTTCAAAGTAGATCTTGAAATGTTCTTTTTGACGTTGTGAACATTTACAGCTTGCTTGGCTCCACAATTAACACTTTTGGGTTCAGCAGTCAGGAATCAAATGACAAATTGAACTGAGAAAATCCATGGTCAGGGACCTCTCCAGAGTACTGAGAAGCGACCATTGTCAGTCTAGAGACTATGGTGTGTCTGATTCAGGCCATGGTCTTTGTAATTACTTGCTGTACTTCAGAGAGCTGGACAGTGACGAAAGATGACAGAAGAAGAATCGATGCCTTTGAGTTGTGGTGCTTGATCACCAAGAAAACAAATGGGTCTGTCTTGGAGAGAGTAAAACCAAGTTTCTTCCTGGAGGCTAGGATTTTGAAGCTTCATCTTACAATACTTTGGGCATGTGGCCAGGAGGGACAAATCTTTGGAGAAGGACATCATACTTAGAAGGGTGGAGGGATAGCACAGGAGATGTGCTGTCACATAGGATGAGATGGATTAAAACAGAAACTAGGGCAATGGAGGTAGGTGTATCAGAGTCAGTGAGACTGGCTCAAAATAGGTCAGGCTTCAAAGTTGTAGGGTCGTTATGAATTGTAGACGACTCAATGGCACTTAACAACAGCAACAACATCCTGAGTGATAGAATACTATCTATATGCAGACAAGGAAGACCTGTTAATCAAATATAAACATCAACTCATAAAGTCAAAAGTGAATAAATTGAGAATTTACTAACTTTTGCAGTCTGAAATATATCAAACACAAATCAAGAAGCATTAATCATTGATGATTGGAATGCAAAAGTTGGAAAATATTGCCTTGGTGACAGCTAGGAACTTGGATATAGAATGATATAATTATCTATAATCAATGATTCATTGCAAACACCTTTTTCCTTTTCTTTTTTCAAGTCTTAAAAAAGTCCCAACTACAACAGACTGCCAAAAAATCCAAGAAAGTTGTCTTAGAGGATGTGCAACTAGAGTACAAAGAAGGTGAAATTTTGTCTCATATGCTTTGGACATGTTAAGAGGGGCCAATCCTGAAAAAAAGACATTATTCTGGGAAAGTAGAGGGCCAGAAGAAGAGAGGAAGACTCTCAACAATTGGATTAACATAGTGACTGTAACAATGTGCCTGATGATGTTGACATCATAACAGTGGTACAGGATAGAGGATTCAGATATGTTGTTCTAGCTTCACTGGAAAGTGTAGTAACTGCAGGTAACTATAGCCTGCCCAACCAAAAGAAACACTGTCTAATCCTATGCTGTCCTCACAGTTGTGGCTCTGTTTGAATTCATTCCTGAAGCCATCAGGCCATCTTGTTTAGAGCCTTCCTCTTTTTTTACTGATCAAGCATTATGCTCTTGCAGTAACCAATCCTGATAAAATATCCATGATAGGTAAGACTAAATCTTACCAGCTTTACTTGTGAAACATTTTGGTTGTACTTGTTCAAAGAAAGGTACAGAGGTACAGAGTTCTTCAGCCAGTCCATTTGGTATTTATGACTACCTCTATAATTTGTTGTTAATTGCCTTCGAGTCGAGCATGACTCATAGCAACCTCACGAACAAAAGGTCTGAAGCCCCTCAACAACTATTGACATTTATCTAAGTTCATAGTCTCCAGAGGCATGTTATTTAGGAAGTGGATGCCACTCCTGCTTATTCTTTCCTTATTCGTTGTCCAGCTTTTACATGTTTATGAGGTGATTGAAAATACTGTGCTTTTTGAAAAATATTTGTCGAATATGATACATCATTTGATTTCTTGACTGCTTTGTCAGTGGACATTGATTGTGGGTCCAAGTGAAAGGAAATCCTTGATAAAATGCCAATATTTTTCATGGTATTGCTTATTGATCCATTTGTGTGAATTTTACTTTCTTTATGTTGAAGTGCAATCCATACTGATGTCTGTAATCTTTGTTTCTCATCAGCAAGTGTTTCAAGTTCTCTTATCTTTCAGCATGCAGATAAAACCTATCAGCATATAGAAACTGATATTTACATGAAAGGTTTCTGAATAGTACAAGTTGTTCAGTGCTCAGTTAATAATGAAAAGGTTGGTTGTGTGAACCCCTGATGATTACGCCTAGTTATGTGTTTTAAAAGGTCTCAGCCCTCAGGAGCACAGATCTGCTGGGGCACAAGTCCTCTGTAAACATGTGTATTTGGCGTGAACTGGAGGAAGTATGATGAATACCAGCCATCGAGCTTGGTTCTCATTTATTTTCTGATATTTATATTACATGCTTTGCATTCCCTCCTTCAGTGTCCCAGCCCTGGGATGTCAAGAAATTCCAGAAAAATTATTTTCCTATATACTTTACTCAACTCTTTCTCCTCATCTATTGTATAAACATGTGCATTTGTCTGATCCTCAGGGGGACCCAGGCAGCTCTAGTGGTGCAGTCTATTTCCATCTGTGTTGTTACCCCAAAGACTGCATTTCCCTAACAATTTGAAGTCATGAGGAACTCCTCTGGAGAAATATGAAAAGTCTGTTGTAACTTAAGCCTAAGAAACCCCTAGAGGGATGTTTGAGTCAGGAACATCTTGAAGGCTCGCCCTCAGGTTTATGTTTGAGAGTTTTTGTGGGACCAAAGGGAACTTAGTTTTTCATCCTGGAAGTGCTAAGTCAGGCCATTTGGCCAGGTGGAGAGCTGACTTGCTGTCAATCTTGTTGTTGTTATTGTTGTTTGGTATCATTGAGCCAAGTACAGCTTATAGTGATCCTATGAACAACAGACCTAAACCCTCCCCCACCTAATGCTATCCTCACAGTTTCTGACATACTCAAGTTCATTGCTGCTGTCATTGAGATCTGCCTCATTGGAGGTCTTCCTCTCCTTCTCTGACCTTCTATCTTTCCAAGCATGATGTCCCTTTTCAAGAAATAACTTTGCCTAGCAATATTGTCCAAAGTATGACAGATAAAACTTTGTCGTCCTTCGCTCCAAGGAGCCCTCTGGCTGCACTCTCTCCAAAACATATGTGTTTGTTCATTTGGCAGCCCATGAAATATTCAGTGTTCTCCTCAACACAACTCAAAGACATCAATCAATTATTTTTCTGTCATCTTTATTCATTGTCTAGCTCTATGATGCATAGTAGGTAATGGAAAAGACCGTGCCAGAATTAGGAGTGCATTAGTCTTCACCAAATTGCTTTTTCTGGCATGTGAACTTGTGCTATTTGCCAGAAAAGGACCCATCCTGTTCCTTTTGGCCTTGGAGTCTATTTTAAGCAATTATTCAGCACTGAGATCTCCATCACTGGGAAAAGACATCCTATCTGGTAAAGAAGGAGGCCAGTGAAAATGAGGGAAACATCCTTGTAAAGGATTGAAATCAGTCACTAAGACAGCTCTGGTGGCTTAGTGGTTAGGAACTGTGCTACAATCCCAAAGGCATGTGGTTCGAATCCACCACCTGCTCCATGGGAGGGGATGGACAGTCTTCTCCCGTGTGATTTACTGTCTCTGAAAACCCTCTGGTGAGTCAGCTATGGGATGGTTCTGACTCGCTGACACACAATAAAAACAAGGGGGGGCTCAAATGTCCCAGTGATTATGAAGATGTTTCACACCTGGACAATGTTATTGTTTAAATATAAAATCACTAAGGGTACTACCTAACTTGACAGACAGCACCTTAGCACAATTGCATGCTCGGTACTGGGTAGCACCTTTGATAAATTAACTCAAGTGAGGTATTCTTGTTGGCTTTCTTCTGAAGGGAAAGATTCCTATAGGAATGGTTGAAGGAGCTGTTTTGAGCAGGCACAACCAAGGCACAGCTCTCTGTCTAGGCCATGAGTGAGGACACATGGCTCTTAGGACCAGCTAGCGGTATGGTGGGGTTACCTCTGTGCTCATGTGGTGTAAAAACCAGTCACAATGGCTACAAAAATTGCTGTTAGCTTGAAGTTCTGGAATGGTTTAATAAGTGTATTCAAATGCCAAGTTGTCGTGTTTCATTTGAGAACTCTGGTGTCATTGTAAGATGATTTTGAGTCACTTTCCAACTCATTGTAGTCCCAGGTGATGGAGTAGAACTGCCCTATAGAACTGTGTTGATTGTGATCCTTCTAAAAGGAGGTCTTCAGGCCTTTAAGCCATGGAGGTGCTAAGTTACACGGTGGGCCTTGTGGTTAACTGGTGGCATGCCATGTCTGTACATCTTTGTGGAGGTAGACTGCCACATCTGTATGTTTCTTGTGGAGGCAGATTCTCACATCTCTGTGCCTTTATAGTGGTAGTCTGCCACATCTGTATGTCTTTATAGAGGTAGACTGCCATGTTTGTATGTCTTTGTGGAGGTGACCGCTATATCTGTATGTCTTCGTGGAGGCAAACTGCTATGTTTGGACGTCTTTATGGAGACAGAGAGCTACATTGCTCTCCCATAGGGTTGCAAGAGGATTCCAGCGGCAAAACTTTTGGCTAACAGCTGAGGACACCCACAGGTGCTATTCATATTTATCTATAACTGGACTCTAAATGCCTAAATGTAATATTCTAACGGGTGTTTGAGTCAT